AGTTAAGGATATGTAGTCCCGAAGTCCTGAACTTCGAGTTGTAAGTTCAAAAGTTAAGGACATGTAGTCCTGAAGTCCTGAACTTAGAGTTGCAAGTTCAAAAGTTAAGGACATGTAGTCCTGAACTTAGAGTTGCAAGTTCAAAAGTTAAAGACACTTATTCCTGAACTTTTATGAGCAGAAGGGTGTTTTCGTTAGGGCAGGTAAAGTTTATTAAAGCAGTGGCTAAAGACTAAAGACATTCTAAACAGTGGCTTAAAAGTAAATACATATGTTATTAGTGGCTAACCGTGCACTTCCCCCTTCCTCAGTAGGACTGGCCCATAATATTTTGGCCCAAGTAACTGGACATGCCTGTTTGTATAATGTCAATATGTTTTGAATTTCTAACATCGAGCCCAAAAGAAATGCTTTGACCCACTACACCATAGGTGTTAAGTTCCAATATAATCTGTATGTCCCCGAAGCGTCGCAGCTTACTGCAAATTTTCCTTCCCAATTGCTAGTCCAACCTAGCCGCAATGAAGAAGAAGCAAAAATCCGCCGCCACCTCCGCCGCAGATACCACCACCACAACAACAACCACCACCGTAGTAGATTTGAAATCCCTAATCCACGACCACAGACTCTTCTTCGACAAGCTAATCGACCTAATTCCACCTAGATTCTACCTCCCTAAAGAAGACGCCCCCTGGTACGGAGGCCTCTCCAAAGCTGCCAAAGCCTCCGCAAAGCGAAAATCCAAAGAGAACCTCAAACTCGCTCGTCGCAACCGCCTTGACCCTGACAAAAAAGATCAAACCTCCACCCTCGGCCTCCTCGAACAATCCCTTCAGAAACAACAAATAACTGACGCCAAAGCAAATCCCGACGAAGATCATGCTAAATCTACGCCCATTAATTTGGAGGAAAACGATAATAACCCTAATAACGATAGCTCCTCCGTTACTTTCGAAGGGCTGAGACAAAAGCTACGCAGAAAGATCGAAATGCTCCGTGGTAACCGCGGTGATGGCGAGAGTTCGCACAATAACAGAGCTAATGATCGTAGGAGGAGTGAAAAGGAAGCATCTTTAGCGAAATCCGAGGGGAAGAAGAGAAAGAGAGGCGAAGAAGGAGGAGATGACGCTAAGGGAGAAGATAACAGTGTTAGTGAAGTGGAAAAGGGAATAGAGTTTGGGAAAGTCAAACTCGGAGACGACGATGACATGAAAAAGAAGAAGAAGAAAAAAGGATCCAAAGCTAAAGAATTGGAAAGGCTGAAGAGGCTGGAAGAGGTGAAGAAGGAGAATAGGACAGTGGCGGATAGGGAAGCATGGAAGGCAGCAGCAAATAGGGCAATGGGAGTGAAGGTGCATGATGACCCTTCAAAGTTGAAGGAGAGCATGAAAAGGGAGAAGAGGAAGAAAGAGAAGAGTTCGGAGAAGTGGAAGGAAAGAGTGCAGAGTCAGGAGAAGTTGAAAAACGAGCGACAGCAGAAGAGAAGGGATAACATTGCTGGTAAAGTTAAGGAGAAGAAGATGAGGAAGATTGCTAAAAGGGAGAAGAAACTCATGAGGCCTGGCTTTGAGGGCCGAAAGGAAGGCTACATTACTCAGGATAAGAGCTAAACTAAACTGGTCATGTGACTCTTTCTTATGTTTTCATATTTTTGAATTTAGCTGCTATTTCAATTGGAGAAAAAGTTGTGATTGTGTGCTGCTAGTCATTTGGTAGTAACATGTTGGTTCATTAGCCGATTCCAACTGGATTGGGATTGAGGCGTAGTTTTTATATTAACATGCTGGTTCATTTATTGTTTTCATGAAGTTAGCATGATAATATATGCTTGCCAACGAATATTATTAGTTTGAGTAGAACATATTTTCTGCATATATTTCTCAAACAGAGGGTGGAAATGGAACAAATACGAGATTCACCATGGATCTTCTTGCTCTGGAACATATTTACTTGGCAATGTCACTCTCTCTTTTTTATAAGTAAATGTCTTACAGGTAAAATGGCTACACATATTTCCCTATTATTTCAATAGTTAGTTACACCCTTGTGATATGGACCAACTTACTTTATTAAGAGTTCTTTAAAAAGCTAAGCTTGTTCTGATGGTAATATTCACTTAACTTTATACCTCAAGCGCTTGTGACTATCCAATCATAGTCACTTCGATACTGAAATATAATCTTTGCACTTGTAATTATAACTATAGTTTTTTCAGTTGTGGAATTATCTAATGATTGAGAATGTTCGGGAGATTTAGTTAAGCAAATAGGGATTTCACTGTGATGTTGCGGAGTTATAGACAGATGCTGTGAACTGATTCGTAACTTCTTGCAAGTGTCCTGCTTATGAATCTAACATGTTAAGATGAATCTGGTGATACAATACCAATTGGTAAAAAAGAGACGATTTGTAGATTACATGAGCGTGTTCTTAATTATTGTTGTGAAAGAAGAGCTCAAGAACCTAAAGGTCTATCCCTAACAGTCAATGAGATGGGATGAATAGGAGAACAAGGTCGAACTCCTAACAGAGACGAAAAATATTAGGTGATTTCTTCCTATCTGCCTAAGCTTTTATGCGCAGAGTTGTCCAATAACTGTGTTGGGGGGAGATAGTTGGTATCCGGTAGAATAGTTGAGGTGTACGCAAGCTAGCCTGGACACCATACTTATAAAAACAAGAGCCTTAACCTTTTGATTGAATGATAATACCTTTTATGGCTATCTTGTGCTTTTGGTTCTTGGTCGGAGAATCTAACAGAAAAAAAAATGATTATCCACTTTTTTATGTCTACTTCGTTCTATCTGCGAACTTTGAGTTTCATACCCAAGATTTTCAGTATGCTGCTGCTATCAAATCTTTTGCAAACTTCTGGAGCATAGCCAGTGATCTACTGCAGTACTGCAGCTAGTACAGCAACATCACTGCAAGTAGCCATAGTATAGTCAGGCGCATAAAGCCCAAAAGAGCGCCAAGCCACGCGGAGGCTTAAGTTGCAAAGTGCAATTAAAGGACAAACTATATTTTTTGAGTTTCTTTTATGCAAGAATTTTAGTATGATTGCAGTGTATCAAGTGAAGCTTATGAACTGGTTGTTTATCCTTTGTGCACTTTATGCCTTTCTAAGTGCTTAAGCCTTTGAGTTGTGAAAGATCTCAGTTCGTCGATTCTGCTTGGACTTTTTCTTCGATTGGTCAACAAGTTCATTTGGATCCAATTGATCAGGCAAGATGGATTTCTTTTATGTCTTCTGTGCATTATGCTTTAATATTATTGTTTCTGACACCCAAAGGTACCCCTAAGGTCTTATGATGAAATACATAGAAGATTAAGCGGAAATAAAATACATAGAAATCAAGCAGAGGGGCATCCAATACTGTGAATGAGTTCCTTAAACTACATTGTATAGTTGGTATCTCTTGTCCTTTCCTGCACATGCGTTCAACCTTCTCTTTCACATTCTTTAGCCAATACTGCCTAAACAATACAACATTTGCAGAGTACTAGAGTTTGATTATAGGAAATTAATTTGAGACAAAGGGAGAGATGCAGAGAATTGAGAAAGGTATAGATAAATATAAAGGAAATTGATCTTCTTTTAGGAAAGTGGAATCAGTTATAGAGTGGTGATAGGAAGCAGGTATAGACAAAAGAAATAGGACTTTTTTCTTTGTATCTCCCATTTCCACCCCTTCGTGGAGCTGCTAGTATAGTTACCAGAGTAGGGCAGAGGGGAGAACTCCTGAAATCCTTTTGATCAGGGACTGACCAGTTACTTACATCAGTCGTGTTTGAGTGATGCACAGAAGATGTACAAAACTTTGAAGTAGCTTTTGGTTGTTTCGCAAACTTTTCAAGTGGTGACAGGAGGAACTTGGTGATATTTCCAGGGGTTAAGATCATTGTTGAAATATCCACGCAATATGATTCAAGAGTCCTGTAAAGCATGCTAGATATCCTTTTGAGCTGTGCTTTATAAAATGCTGATGGGAAGCTTTCAAGAATTTCTTGCTGATTTTTATGCCTTGGCATTGAGCTTCAGGTATGGTGCTTCATCCAAGGGGATGCTACTAACTCGCTGCTGATTTCTCCTAACCCGAGGAGTTAGGTTCCTCTTCTAGCAGGAAGAAAGCATTAGCAATCTAGCTGAACTTTGTTTTGTTTTACGCTTTAAATTGCTATCTTGCTTTGCAGGATCTTGTGGCACTCGTAACACAACTTTAGCCCCTCTTCATGTTTCAATCTTATGTTTTATCTTGTGATTTGTTGTACTTGTATGTTCGAAGTTAGAAGTTCAACAGTTGAACTTCAACTAGCTTTCACTGGAAATGTCGTGTAGTTCCTATCTCTCCATAGTCCCGTGCCAGTCTGACCTTTTGTCTTCGTCTGGTTGACTATTTTCTTTCTAGATCCCTTGGTTTTCCCCCTTTTAAAGTTTTTTTTTTTTTTTTTGGGTGGGAGATGGGGCGGAGGTATCGAAGGTTGGGGCTGATTCCTAAAAGAAAATGCAGAACTAGAACTTAAGTAGACTTTTAGACATACTTATTACTTGCTAATAATGACATATCATTTGCAAACACTTATTATTTGCAAGTCCTTTGTTTCATAATTTGTCCAATTTATTTCAACTTCAACTTAAAATAGAGAATATGAAGTTGAAAAGTGGGTTGTGGAATATTTCTAGTGAAATAATAGTTGTCACCCACAAATGTCCAACTCTTCCCAGGTGAATTTCATGTCTAAACACATTTTCATATTTCAAATACTCCTTTTCAACTTGGAATACTCACTTAAAATATTGTCGAAAGGAGCAGTAGTTTATTGCGAGGTTAAGTGTAGTTTGGCAAGCGAGCCTTACTTTGAGATGCATTTCTAATCCACTCTTGAGTTAGTCGCCGTGTCCATGTGCATGTGTGTGGGGAATATGCTTTGCAATCTTGTCTAACAAGTGACTTAGAAAAGTTGAGGGCACATGGGAGGTAGGTGCTTAACTTATCGTATTAAACAGAATCCAGAAAAGTGTATCCATAAATATCCAGAGAGGGTCACATAACCATACAGATCGCCACTAAAATCCATCATAATATTACAATTCCCGTATGAAAAAAAAAAGCAAAGGCCAACGAGAAGACACTCAAAATTCCACACTAAAGTAATGATACAAGTGCAAGGCACTTTGTGCTTGCCTCTAGGTCATGTTAGATTCCAGCAAACATGGTACGATGGGGCAACAACAAAAGTAGAAAACCAAAGAAAATATTATCCAAATCAAGGCCCTACATGGGGGAACACAGAGGCTCCTCCTTTGTACTGAAGTTGATGATGATCTTATCCTTCCTCTATTCAAAAGCACGCAAGTAAATAGTGGTGGAGTAATGGCCCTTGAGTTTTTGTTGATGGTGCTGGTCACTGGTCACTGGTCACAAAATTAAATCCTAAGGCATATATGCACCAAACACATGCCATTGGCATTCCCCTGCCAACCCTGCGCACATGCTTCCTGTCCCTCCATATCTATACCATCCTTCCTTTATTCCTTTCTACTTTCTCCTCTAAATATTCTCACTTCTTCCTCCTGTCTATACATTAACCAACTCAATATCTTTACAATCACCAAATCATATCACTTGACACCTCTAAATTCATCACCCAAATAGAAAAAAGGGGAAATATTGTTAGACAATCAACTACGCTTCTTAACAACTTTTTTGCTACTTAGAACTGTGACTAATTAGTAGACTACTTAATAAACTGGGAGATGATTAGGTAATTATAGAGTTGGGGGTGGTTGAGTTGCCAATGCCACGCATTTGACATGTCGTGGGCAGGTGGTTAGGTGGTCGTTGGTAAGGCCGGCCGCCTGCATGAAGGAGTGTATAACGGTTGGGCCGACGTAGCGGAAGCCTCTTTTCACCATGTCTTTGCTTATGGTTTCTGATTTTGAAGTCTTCACTGGGATTTTGTTGCATGCCTTGTATTGTGTTGCAATGGGCTTCTTGTTTACAAATCCCCACAGATACTTGTCGAACGACCCAAATACCTTCTTTATCTGAAATATATTCAAGAAATTGATCCCCACATTTAAAATTTGCAAGACTAGAAATGTCCAAATTTTATTTAAGAATCACAGGAATGTAACAGTATATGAGAAGTCTACTGTATTTTTTAAGCCTAAACACTTATTTAAGTTACTAATCTTACTTTCTTGGGGTTGTCAGGATTGGTATCCAATACTTATTCCATATGGCCCATGTGGTTATGTTATTTAATAGGTGTTAGCTACATCCATGATTGGCTTCAAGCAGATTAATTAATTTAAGAGTTTCCCATCTGTACTTTCCATTAGAGCATCATAAGGATTGAAAAAGAATGAAGATATTGAAATAGAAAAGACAGTTGAAAAGTTTAATTAGTGTTTAAAATTCTTTTATAGAGCTCATATTGTATGATTACCTCTAAAATTCTGTTAGAGTTGTCGACAGCTCCTCGGAGTTGGCTAAGCTCTATACCATATTCAGCACTTATTGAAGTTATCTTCTTTTCATTGTACTTGGAAACAATTTCTGGATCAAATCCTGAAAAGGCATCCCTGGAGGAAAATAGAATGCAAAATACAGCTAAGGCCTCTGACTTTTGCAAAAAATGTTTATTAAGAATCAGTAATAACACCAGCTAAAATCTACCTGAAATCTTGCCTTCTTTTTAACACTGAAGTCCAGTCCGATCCAACTTGTGCACCAGTTAACACCAGCAACTCAAAGAGCAGACTGTGTATATACAACAAGGAAATTAATATAAGTATGAAGCAAGTACAAATGAAGGGAAGCATCGGAGCAATGGTAAAGTTGTCTCTGTATGACCTATAGATCACGGGTTCGGCCGTGGAATCAGCCACTGATGCCTTACATCGGGTAGGCTGCCTACATCACACCCCTTTGGGTTGCGGCCCTTTCCGAACCCTGTATAAACGTGGGATACTTTGTGCACCCCGCTGCCTTCTTATGAAGCTGACAAATATGAACAGTGCACAAAAAACAGGGGAAAAGAGATGCTTACTTATCATCATGGACAGGAACTCCCCATTCTTCATCATGGTATGCAATATAGAGCGGGTCTGGAAACACCACAAAACACCAAAAACTTTAGTCCTATTTATCCACTTACGCTAATTTGTGTCTCATTTTGTGTTTGAAGATAGTTTCAATTACCAGAATTAGGCGTGATAAAGCTGCATCTTTTTTCCTCTCGAGGACTGGGGTTAGCTGCTGAAGGAGAGGAAGAGTCGAAAGAAGATACTTTTCCTTCATATTTGGCAGATTTTGTTCTTCCATAATGGGCAATTTTCATTTTTCTTTGAACTTGCGCGGTTGCAACTTGTTCCCTTCTTGCTGCTGCTATGCTTCCTGGAACCTCGATTATCAACGAGGACGAATATTTCAATGAAGAATTCTCCACAGAAGGGGTCGAAGCTATGCCCCCATTGCTTTTCTTAGGCTTCTTCAATAAAGTTGTTGTTGTTTTATTAGCAGTGCCTTTGGGACTCAAAACTTTGTCACCACTTGAATTCAAGACATTAGGATCAATATTCCCTCTCTTGGTAGCTGGTTGTCTTGGCGATTTCAGTTTAGGAGAGACCGGTGGAGTTGTTACTGAAATCTTGACTTTAGTAGTGCCATTTGTAGTAGGACTAGGAGGAGCACTGTTAGTTCGCTGTAATACAGCAGCAACAGAAGTTGTTTTTGGAGGTGTCTTTTTAAGGGAGTTACGGCGTTCAAAAAAAGAAACTATTTTGCTATTTGGTTGAAGAACAGGGCGACCATTGATTTGGGAGATGGTTTGTTGGCTGCTCTGCAGTTTCGTTTTGGAGGAACACATCTTTAATTTATTGGCTAGTTGTGCTTTTCTTGTGAAGAGATAACACAAGGAAGAAGAGTAAACGAGGCAAAATGAGAAGAGGGTTAGAGGCTTTTCCTTGGTATTGATCAAGCTCTAATTAAGGGACATGAGGATTGAGGGAAGAATGTGGGCTGATTTTATAGAGAAAATAATAAAGCCAAGGGGGTTGGGGCCTTTGTGGGGGGGGAGGTAGGGAAAAGGGGTATAAGGGGGGAAGTTATGAATTTGGAACATGGAGAGGTTGGGGTCTGCCATACATAGAACCTCTTTTCTTGTGAGGTTGCCACTTTCTTCTGTTTAAAGTGACCACGAGGATGACAATCACCCCATCCTTACCGAATCGTAACCGATAATCGGACCACAAAATTAACTTATTAGTATCGGATTATTGGATTAACAATGGGTGAACATATTGAAATTCTATAATTAATGGTTTGGGGGCGGATTACTCAATTTCCTTATCGGATAAACCATTAAGAATTATTATATTTATATTTTACCCAGATGTATATAAATCCGCTGTATTATTATATTTATATTTTTACCTCTACGTATATAAACCTTTCCTTTCTTATTTTGATAAACCGTGAATGTCAGTGTTATAGCTTTTCCCTTCTTATTTTGGTTTAATTGTTTATGTTCGGTACTTTAGAATCTTGCAATTGTTCAGACAATTGTTTATGTTCATTGTTCGGCCTTTCCCTTTCGTGAATTTGGAATATGTATCAAGTTTCCCCTCATTGTTTAACCAAAAATTAGATTTTAGGTCAAAGCTTGAATTTAGAAGAACACGGGCTACTGATGATCGGAAAAGAGTATATAAAGAAAGAAATTTGTGAACAATATAATCAGAAAGCAAATAAATCAAAGTATATTCTAATAGTGTTTTTTCTCTTTTTCTACAATCGTTTGTGACTTTTCCTTTTATAGCCATTTTGGGAATACAGACTTTACCTTTGTCATAATAAGACAATTATGGGCAATTAATGACTTTAAATGTTACGTTATGCAATCATATATGTTAAATACATATTCTCTAACGTTTCCAGTATTTAATGCTCATTAAATGCTGTATCTGGGCTCTTTTTTGCTGTCAGATTCATTCCTTTGACTCTTCATGATCTTTGACCTTTAAATATCTTGAATATGTACGATCATTTGAATTACTTGTATGACCGCTCGTGCCTTCTCCATTTAACTTGTTCGTATATGTCATTGCTCGTATCTGTTAACCAACCTTAATTCTTTGACTATTTGACCAGTCTACGTGTCATGACACGTCACCTCCAATATGCAGAGTAAATTTTTCCCAATACACTCATCTCTATTGAATTGTAGTTCATGTACTTCATTTTTATTATTTATTTGATTTAGCCGATAAACATCCGATAATCGCTAATTTGACCAATCCGCTCAATGTCTTATTGCTTGGTTAGTGGATACTATAAGCTGATAACCGATAAGCCGAATGTTAAGCGTTAATATCTGCCTGATATTTTAATTACTATATTTGTAAGCCGATAACCGTTACGCGTAAATATCCGCTCAATAAGCAGCCCTATCTGCATCTACATTCCTAGGGCTTCCTAGGGCTTTAAAGTACTAACTCCACTTGTTTAAGTTACTATCCTAGTACTTATTTTGTTCAGAAAAAATGGTTAATTTTGCTCATGTATTATACAAAATCGAATAACTTTGTCATCCGACAGACATTTCATCTAATTTTGTGTTCATTGTTAGGAAAACGTATCATTTTTATCCCTAATCTCTAGTGGAGCTAACACGAGGGTAATTTTAAATCATAGTTAAAAGCATATGGATAGATATTTTTTCAAAAAATTTAGACACATGAAATTCAATCATTTCATGCTGGACCTAATTTGTTAATGGTTAAGGCAAATACATGAAAATTTGCTAACGACAAGAGTAAGAATTGAACAATTTAAAATAAAAGAAAGGCAAATATTGCCTTTATAGAATTAGAAGGGAATCGAAGTGGTGCGAGTGCCAGCAGTTTAGGATCCTTCCTTTTTCATTGCCAGCCAAGCCTAGTTCGGAAAACCCGAGCTGGAGTGCTTGTGAAGTTTTTGGGGCCAGAAAACGACCAATCATTGCTCTCTCTTCCTTAGATTAGAATTAGACCTGCCTTGCGTATTTACCCTTTTCTTTTATCCCAACTCTTTCTTCTAATATACCAATTCACCTTCTCTCCATTAGTTAGTAAATTATGTATGATTTAGTTGTTGGAACTAATCATATACTTACTTTATACCACATACAAAAGCTTATCACTACTCTCCAAAAGGGTTTGTTTAACCACACTTTTGTCAAAGTTGACATTTGTATTCAACATGAAACCACATACATTTTATTAGTAGCTTGTGTCATTTATAATTTTATACACCTTTTTGCGATATCTCGTGTGAAACCTCTAAAGAATCTGTCGTTATTAGTAAAAGAAAAATCAGGGATTGAGTCTAAGATCCCAAAGACCGCATAGTTAAAAGCATTCATTAAAGAATAATAAATTTTGAGATTGAGCAGTTGAGAACAATAATATCCAATTACTAGGAATAAATCTTGAAACGCGTTGTTCCAACTAACACAAACATTAAGTAAACGGGTTGTCATTTCCCCTAAACAAGTAACAGAGCCAGCTTTAAAGTATTGAACATGAAGCTGATCGTGTCCTAGTAATTTCGTTCTGATACTATTATGGTATATGTTCACGCTTCCCCTATTTTTGGATAAGTATCTTATTCCCCTTCTCCATCTAGGCACGCCAAGTATAACGATTCCCATCAATCAGCTATGGCATTTACACTACCCTTTGTGAATGTACCTATTTATGTCAAACATTTTGTTTTTCTTTGTGTGCACTTTGATTAATTCATCTGATATATGTAACCTCGCACTTCATTGGATACTTGCTATCTCCTATTAGAACAAATATTGTTTAACTTTTTCCATCAAGGCTTAGGTAGATTAAAAAAAAATCTTCTAAAATAGGTACCTGTACGGGTCATAATCTGACTAAGGCAATCTGGCACGAGGTTAGATTACCAAAAGGCGAGTAGGCCGAGGTCTTGCACAAGATTAAAGAAACTAACGGGCGAGCTGACTAATCGGGGCCGAGCTCAGGAACTCTAGCCGGCCATAACGGCTAGTTTTGTCGTAAAATGTTTTAGGGGAATATTCCCCGAATATTCTCTGTACTTGTACTTTAAGTTAGGTAAGGGATATGTCTCATATAAAGGGAAACGGAGAGAGAAAAATAGGGCATAAAATATTCTATATGATAAGTTCTCTCATGAAATGTTGACTCTCAAGTAAATTACAAACATTGTCTTTCCATAAAGATTCGATTTGTTGTTCATCCCACACTTTCTCGTATCAGATCCGAGAAAACTCCATATATTCCCACGTTTGTTTGTCTTACATCATTGTCAGAGAGAAGAATCATCCACCTCATTCAATATTTGGGTGAATCATGCTCTCTATTTATATTTATTGACATTTAATATATTTATTGCTTATCATTATTCCCCAACGCAATCGTAACATTACCATTTAATACACATTTGCATTAAATTGGTTTAAATGCAATTATATGTTGTTTGTATCAACCTATTTCAGATCTAGGATTTATTATATTTAACTAGGATTTACCCACTATTTTCTTATTTAATTAGTTTAACAAAAGGCTTAACACTTTTTGGTCAAACAATTTGGCGCCTTCTGTGGGGAATTTTCTAGTTAAAATTTTAGTTTCTTCTAGATCTAAAAAAAAACTTCACAAAAACCCTATACTTCCTTGTTTGCACAAATCTAACATGGCAGGCAATGGAGAGGAAAAGAGTAAGGCGATAACCGACCTCACCACCAACCTCCTCCACACCATCAACGAAGTGGATGAAACAGAGGGCGAAGATATAACACCAAACACCTCTCCCAGGCGAAACAGCTCGCCTCCACCTCACGGTAGCATCACGACCTCGCATAGTAAGAGGGCCTCTACATCCACAATAGAAGAGGCACTACCAGCAGTGAAAAAGCTACTTGAGGCATGGTTGACAAACACACTAACCGGCTTCCTCGACAAGCCCGCTCGGAGGTCGAGTAGAGAAGAGGCAAGGGTCGGCATTGCATCGATAGCTAACGAGCAGCACGCCGCCCCCTGCAACATGTATTACTCACGATGCTAGTGATGCAGGTAATGACACCCTCACAGCCATTTTGTGAAAAATGGAGGAGATGGAGAACGAGACAAAATGCTCCGCAACCATATGAAAGAGCACCAAGAGAGGGTAGACAAAATATCGGGTGCCCCAAAACTTCTGCCAAAAAGGGACGCCGTTCGATTTGTTGAGCAACCATATAGCAACGAGGCTGCACCGCATGCCATACCAAAGACCTTCAAAATGTCGTCGTACTTAAAAATATACGACGGCACGACGGACCTAGAGGATCATGTGACCCACTATGTCACTGCAGTGAAAGGCAACGACCTCGCCAAAGAACAAGTATTATCCATATTGTCGAAGAAGTTTGGAGAAACCCTAACCGGGGGAGCGCTGACTTGGTACTCACAGCTACCTGTGCATTCCACAGAAACGTTCGAGGAAATGGCAGACAAGTTCGTCACCGCCCATGGCGGAGCTAAGAGAGCAGAGGCGAGGGTGAACGACATATTCGCCATTAAGCAATCGCCCGGCGAAGGACTCAGGGACTTCCTTGCCCGGTTCAACCGTGTAAGAATTCCTTCCAAATGTATCTAAGGGGATGGCGGTAGCCGCTTTCCAAAATGGGAAAAGTAGAAGTGGGTCGAGGGCGACCAAAAAGTTGCTAACCGACTCATGAAATACCCTCCAACCACTTGGGACGGGATACACAACGCCTACTGTGCCGAGGTAAGAGCCGACGAGGACGATCTCAACGGACCTACCCAACAGTTGACCTCAGTTCAAATGGAGTCCAGGAAGGACCGGAGAAACGACAACAGAAGAGATCTAGTGGGATCCCGACCTAATCGGGACAGACATCAGCCTTACGGCAGAGGTGCCCTCATGCCACCTCCATGCCACGATGAAGGTCCATCCAGGCCGCAAACGAGAATCCACCAAAATGAGAGAGGTATGCCCCCTTTATTATCTGCTCACAATTTTTGTGT